TTGTTGTAGTAATGTTGGGGGGTTTGGGCTTTTTGCTGTTGTTTTTTTTTTTGCTTGGTTTTTTTTTTTTTTTTGTTGTTGTTGTTGTTGTTGTTTTTGTTGATTTTTGCTGATTTTTTTTTTTAAGGAAGTGAAAAGCATAATTGTGATCACTGCTCATTACGTGTTTTCCAAAACCTAAAGTTTTAGGTTTTATCTCACCAAAATGTTTTGAGGTTGTGTGAGGTTTTTTGGCAGATTTTTTTTGTGTTTTTTGTTTTGGGTCTTCTTTGTTTGTTTTATTTTAAATACTACAAAATCAAGCAAAAAAAAAAAAAAAAAACAAAAACCAAACCCACTTGTAGAACCCCAGTGTAGTTGTGTGCTTTAATGGTGTGTGGGTGCAGTTGCAAAACAGAATTATGAATACTAAACCAGAAATGGGCTCAAGAGGGAGGTATGCAAACTCCTGTGGGAAAAGTTCACAAAGAGCGACTTAAACACCAGGATCTCTGGCTCAGAAAGTCCCTAATAGATGGGCACTAGATGATCTTAAGGTGCTTTCCAACCCTAATGATTCTATGATTCTGTGACTCTGGAAGCTGGAAATGTATATCAAAGGAAGCATCACTGTATGTTTATGTATATACTTTTTCCAGGTGTCCACTGCTGACTGGTACCTGAGACAGGGTAATGGATTTTGTGGACCAGTTGTCCTGTATGTTACCCCAGAGGAGGCAGGGACTTCTTACGAGATGGAGTTAAATGGCTAACGAGCATAGAAATAGAACCAGCATAGTAGAAGTTGTTTTTTTTTGTCTCTAGCAAACATATCACACTTTTTTTTGTAAGCTTCAAAATGTACAAAACCAAGGGATTCTTTTACCTAAGCCACTTTAAAGGGAGAGGAGAGGAAAAGAAATGTAGTTAAGTATATTAATATAGTAAAGGCTTTATGGCTGTGAGCACTTCTGTATACTTTAATTTCATTTCGGTGGTTACTTTTATTGAAATAAAGTTAACTAAAGTTAAACTGGGATGTGAACTCTCAAAAAGGAGAGGAAAAAAGAATGGCAAAGAAGAAATTAGAATCATTAAAGAGGAGACACTTTGTGGAGGTGAAAGAAAGCTGGTTCTCGGAGATAAAAAAGATTAAAGAACAACTTGTCTCAAATAAAAGAAAGCCTGATAGGGAAGGAAGAGCAAATGAAGATTTGTATGCAGGAAAGCGCCAAGGTGCTGCCTTTGCATAGGAGCACTGTGTTGTTGGAGGCCCCCTTCTGAGAAAGTGTCTTCTGCTGCATGCTCTGCAGTAGCAAAGCTCAAGCTAATTGATATTTTTTTCTAACTATAGAGAAGTTTGTTGTCAAAGAGCAGTGGGTTTTTTTAAATGGGCAGTAGTGCAACATGCAGAAAACCCCATCCAACATGTGTCCAGAACACTTGTGAGTTTAAATTGTTTCTAGCCTGGGGAAGAGGATGCAATTTTCATAGTCCCTTCATTCCCATTTTTCTTGTACTGAAGAGGTTGAAGAACCTTTGGTTCTTCTCTGTCTGGATCTTGTCTGGCTGTGTGCACACTCATGTATGCATTTGTGTATTTAATAAGTGTGGCAATGGCGACTACAATTTGTGTAATAGTTTGTCTTGTTGTCATGCATTAAATGTGCTGGCAGTCTAACAGTATGCCTCTCGAGAGTAACAGGGAAGCACAAAGAAGGTGAACTTTGTGGGGCTTTAGACAGCAAGTAAAAAGGTGGTGGCAGTCTGGGCATACTCCAGCAGATGTTGGAACCCTTGGACCAGGTATGTAGCCTGCCAACGCAGGCTTTCCCTGGATTCTCTGTATCCCTGAGGAAGGGTGACACTGTCAGATGGTGTTTCACCTGCAACTGGGTGCTTCACCTAGAATCGATGGTTGCTTTTCTTCAGCTACACAGAGCAGTATTTCTAAAAGTAGATGTATTATGAACCTAAGCCTTAGTGAACCAGTTAAAAATATAAGTACTTTCGGACTGTTTTGTTTTGTGTTTTTTTTTCTGTCTCGGTTCTAAGACAATACCAGGTTCTAGTAGAATGCATTGAGTTCTCCGGGTTTTATGCCAGCCCTTTTATCACATTCAGTTTTGCTGAGCCTTTCTTTGAAGTCTGGCTTCAACCTATGGCAGCCAAGACACTGTACAAACTGAATTCTTACTGTAAACTGCAGAGTGGATGTTGTCAACTGGGAGGGAGGATATTTTAAAAAAGGAAATAATTAAAAAGGTTTTGAACATAAAACTCAAGTAATTCAATGTTTCGAAACAGACGTTAAGTATCTACTTAGTATTTTACTAGTTTTGCAACTTCTATGCTTCATGATGATACAGTATTTTAAATGGCAAAATTTTCTACTGAGCTGTCTGAGCAGTGAGTTAACTTGGTAATAGATCCAAGTATACCCTCTTTGTTGCAATTTTTCCTCCCTTTGCTCATGCCATTGAATTGTGACAACAATTTTTCTACTCCCCTGTTATCAACACGCTATTCAGCCAGCTTCTTTCTATCCAGATAAACATGAAATCGAGAGGTGTTGTTTTTTTAGAAGTCTCACTTGAGTGAACTGATGTATCAGTGGAAGTATAAATTTCCACGGAGGTAATTTTTGCCTTCTCTCCCGAGATCAGGATCATGCAGGATGCTGTGCTGACAGCTCTCACAGTTCTGAGTGGTTTGCTCTGATGCTGTGATAATCCACTCTTTTTCTTTTCTATTCCCCCCTCCCCCCAGATGCACATTTAAAGTGCAGTGGACTCACTGTGATTCAGGATTGAGGTTTAAAGGTTTTCAGCCATCAGATTTTCTAGTGGCTCGCTTGTATGTCTAACAGCTTATAGGACATCTGGCACACAGAAAATTCAGTGATGAAAGTGGTATATAGGCTTTGGGACTATGTAACAGAAAGATAGATCTCTTCACAGTGAATACCTGATATATTCTGTTTTGGCAGCTTTCCTGCTAGGCCTTTCCTGTAGCCTCTCTGATCTTTGTCCAGTTCTCTGGGTAGGTTTTGTTGAAGATTGTTTTGTTGTGTGTCTTTAGCTGATGCTGTAGTTGCCATGTGGCTTGTTTCAGTGACTGCTAAGGTGGACAGTAAGCACACCAGAATAATATTCCCTCAAAGGGCTTGGTGTATGAATAGTTGCAACTGCTGAAATAGTTATGCAGCTGCATGTACCTTGATTAATTTTTATCTTGGTTGGCCACCTGAGAATGACATCGTGGTCTTTATAATTTCTTCTTGAATGCTGCATAGCCAGCATATAACTTTCTCACAAAGAGTGTTGCCTTTAACTTCATTTTACCATGCAGTTTATTTGGAACACTATAATATACTTTCTGCATGTAATTATACTGCCTAGTACTAGTATTAACCACTTTCTAGTACTCTATTTCCTACAGTCTTTGTAGGAGTGATAAAATAGATGTTAAAAGCTGTGTGTGGAGTTAATTGGATGTATATGAATGAATGAAACCCAGTAAACAATATGATATCATTGCTGTCAGTATCATGTTCTTTTTCTGCCTTGCTCCCCTTACTACTTACATTTGCATTTCCGCATTGAATTTATGGTATTGGATTGCTGTGGTTTTCCTTTTGGTGTTTTTTGAGAACACCAAAAGGGAGACGATTTGGGAGTGGGTGTTTGCTTTTCCATTGTGGTGAGCACCACCCTCCTGTGGCATGTTAGTAAATGGGAGTTAGCATGTTAGCAAAAATAAGCCGACAGGACAGATCTGTGGAGAAAAACGTGGTGCAAAGGACCCTGTGCAGTTCAGAAGATTCTGCTTTGAGAGGGCTGCAGTCTGGCCCTTCAGGCCTCATGCCTTGTTGGCTGAATACTAATTAGGGATGCTACTGAACCACTTGGTTTTGTCTAGAAGTCCAGCTCATGAGCCCCAATGCTACTGAACAGTATGAGCAATGGCAGAGTGAGTTGAGACAACTGGGAGATGGTCTTCAAAAAGGCACTCCTGATCCAAATGGAAAATGCTAATGTGTAAGCTTCCACTGGACAGTTCAGTTCTACACAGTATCACTTTTCCTTGTTTTCTTAAGAGAGTGAGTAGTTGAGAGAGGGAGACAAACCTCTTGAAGGGTTCTGTGGGCTGAAGGCAATGTTGGTAGGTGTAGATGTCAGTTGTGTCTGCGCTGTCCCTGTTGTACCTGAAGAGTGTGCTTGCAGACCTTTGCACTTGTAAACCATTGCTCCACTGCTATGGTTTTGGGTTGGGTTTGGGTTTTTTTTTTGGCTCTGGGAGCTTTTCAAAGCTTCGCTGAAAAGGTACCAGGTATATTTTCTGCTAAAACTGTACTGGATTGAGCTGCGCTTGCCAAGTGTTTCTGGTGTGCCTAGTCCCTTCTTCGTTGCTCTCTCCAAATCCTAGACTTCTGGGGAAGCCTCTAGGCCAAGCAGGTGAGGTACTTGAGAAGGGAGGTAAGCCCTCATTCCATGGGAAAAGGTCAGAGGTGGCTGAAGGATTTTGCTCCTCTTCCTCAATACACACCTGCATATAGTTCAAATCAGTAGTACTGTATGCTCTTCCAGAATTCTCAGTGGCTTACTGTTAGAGTTGCTCTGAAAGCTCATCTCAAATAAGTTACTTCTATTTCTTGTATTTTTCCATAACTGCCCACAGTGTGCCACTCTGCTTTCTCTATTAGTTTAATTTTTGTTAAATACCCTCTTTGCAATTCAGCTTATGAAATGTACATTTATTAAGAGGATGTTCAAGACAATTTTAGTGAAATTTCTGTAAGCTATTTCCTCCTCTTTCATCCAGACCATATGATTTTCTTTTTCCTGCCTTGAGAACTTACGAAGTTAAATAAGGAATGTGTTTGTTAAGTGTAACTTTTACAAATCTCACATACATGGGCATTTTTTTTTCTTATTTTAAACACTGTATAATTGAAGTCAGATATAGTCAAAATGTTTTAGGAAGCTTCATTTTTAATTAATTTTTCCATTTCTTTGCAGATGTATTTGTCAGGCCTTACATCAAAAGATCTCTGTGTTAGTCACTCACCAGTTACAATACCTCCGTGCTGCAAATCAGATTCTAATTCTAAAAGATGTAAGTGATTTCAGTGTCTATACTTTTATATCTCACATACTTTCTAACTACTCTTTTTAAGAATGAAAAAAAAAATGATTAAAGGGTTTTGCTTTTAGTTTGTAAATATATTTTCTGTCTACTAATGATTATAAATGTTCTTAAATATTTGTAATTATTAAGAAGTTGATTTTTCTTAGAATACCATCCCTGAGAAATGTTTCTGAATTCTCATATATATAAATGTAATCTTACATACAGATTTTCATCTTACATATGTATAATATACTGTGAGAGAATCACTTATTTTGAAACCATGTTAATGCTTTGATTTTATTCTTGTTTCTTAAAATGTCTGAGTGAAATAAGAACTATGTTGATTTTGCAGCCAGTCCCTTTTTTAAATTAAGGCTGAGAAATGGTCATAGCTACCTTTTGAGAATGAGCCAAGAACTGTTTCCTTCCAAACTTTGGTGTACCAGATGTTCACAGGTAGAGGGGGAATGCGAGAGCTTTAGCTGGGGTTCTTTTCATTTTTTTTAAAGTTTGGTTAATGAAGTGTGTGAAATTACTTCTGGTCCATCACAGTGTTGTAAAAAAGGACACCAGCAGTCTTTTTCCACCCATTAAAATCTCTTTAAAAGTTACAGTACTTTCTGGAAATGAGTTTGTGATAGAGCTGTAGGAAGTGTGTAAATGTCCTGTGTTGCTCCTTGTAGATCTGTGAGGACCAGAAAATTAAGTTGCTGTTTCCCCCTAGCCTGGGTTAATATAAAAAGACTGATAGTTATGTATGTGGCTCAACAGTTTGTACTAAAGCTGCATGGCTGTCTCCTGCAGCTTCTCCAAGGAGGTAATCCTGACATGGCTGTAGATGGGACTTCTGTCATCCTGTTTACATGCTCCTTAGCCTGGTTAGTTGCCGGAAAAGGCCTGGTTTAGAGGGTGAAGAGCTTGGTTCTGTGCTTCTAAATGAAAAACTGGTAGGTAGAGGCTTCAGCTCAGTTACTGAAGCAGGATGCGTGCTCAGCAACTGCAAAACCCCCGAGGCAGCAAGGCTAGATAGGAAAAATTGTCCTTTATGGAAAGTATATAATGAAGATAATCAAAGCTTATATTAATTGTAGGGTAAAATGGTGGGGAAAGGTACCTATTCAGAGTTCCTGAGATCTGGCATCGACTTTGCTTCCCTTTTGAAAAAAGATGAAGAGGTGGAACAGCAATCGGTTCCGGGAACCCCCAACCTGAAGTCTGCCCGGAGCCGAACCTTCTCGGAGTCCTCTGTCTGGTCCCAGGATTCTTCTGTTCACTCACAGAAAGATGGGGCAGTGGAACAACAACCTGTGAGTGCTCAAAGGATAGATGTGTCTCAATTCTTGTTTGGCTGTTTTTTAACGTAAGCTTCAGTAAGGACTTTCACTGCTGCATTTGAGTTTCAGGTATTGTTGGATTGCATTAGCAGGTGAGAGCTTGCCCATGGTGGATCTGCCCCAGCACTGTGTGGCTGGCAGCCCTGTCACCTGGGCTGCAGAGGGCAGGCATCTCACAGCTCTGAGCTGTTCTGTTCAAACCCAGCACAGTGAGATTGCTCAGATTCAGCATCAGCTCTGCCAGTCATTCAGAGACACCACGTTGTGCTTCCTTCATCCTGTCCTCCAGAAGCGGTGCTTCAAAAATACCACGTATTGGATGGCTTCTGTGTGTTTGCACAGTGCTGGACTCAAATTAACACTTTCCGTGAAATCCAGAGCTCTAGAAAGTGGTGGCTTTATGCAAAACCTACATTTGCATGGCTGGCATTAACATACACACATGATTTTGAGCTGGCTCTCAGGGTGTAACCTTGGGGCACCCCAGCATTGCTCTCCCAGCCTTTCTGATGGTGAAAACAGAACTCTTTGTGTGGTGCCAGCTTGAATTGCAGGTGCCTTGTTTTCTCCTGTGCTGCACAGTGCAAAAGCAGATACAAAGTTTCTGTACCAGAGGTGGCTTTCTGCTGGTGTGTTTATTACATTCACATAAAACAGCCCAGGAGCCCTGTGACCCTGCTGGGCTTGCGCTAGCATTGCAGCCATGGAACAAATGGAACAAGTAATCCTTGTGTGCCCCTGACACCTTTATGCAATAAGATGTAATAAAAACAACAACAAAAAACAGGCTTTCTGTTACCTTTTTTGAGGAATATTTTTATGCCAAAAGCAGTAAACTTAGCTGGCATTATTAATGTCCCAGTGGTGACTCCACTAGTAAATCCACAGAGATGTGACACACTTCTTAGCAGCATTGGAGCTGTTGGATGGGGGTGGGGGCTGGAGAAACAAGTAACTGAGATAGGCTTCTCTTCTTTCATGGGTGAGTAGGTGGGATTTCTCCTTTTGTATATGAGTCAGGTGTGTAAATACTACCACTGTTGTACAGCTAAGCCTGGTGACAACGAAATCAAGTGTTATGTGTCCACTGAATTGGCACTAGTTTTTCTATCACATGTACGAAAAAAAAATAAATTTCTGAATTAGAATAATTCTTTTACATTCTTTATGCCTGTCTCATTTTTTCCTTTTGTGTCTTCCAGTGAACCCCATCTGTTGTTTGCTTAGTATGATTTGTCGTTTTACTTGTTTTCCCTATTAATGGATGCATTGCTGGTACTTGCAAGGGGTTGATTAAAACTTCATGGGTAATTTGTATATTCTGAGCATACGTTGATTGACTTTTGTGCACACTTAAAGAAGAGTATTTGAATACTTTTCTGAAAAGGAAAGGTTACACACACTTGCATTCTGAAAACAGAATCTTTACCAGATCAAGGCCTTAGCTTCCAGTGCTGTTATGTCTGAAGGTAGCGAAGAGATAGAAATACCATAAGAAAATGAATGCCTGGTTTAGCAGCCAGTTGATGTAAATATTTCTGGCTGTAAATGAAGCCATGTTACGTTCTGTGATACAAGGCAAAATAAAATCCTCACAGTGTCTTTTGTAGAGCAGATTTTTCAGTATTACTGTGACTAATTCTTTTTGTCAAAGCTATAGTTCCGATATTTAAAGTTTTTAAATGCATAATCACTTTATCTCCTTATTTAATTGTTTGCTAATTCTGAACCCTGATGTTCCAAGTGGCTTAGTCTGAGTCTGTAACTGCGAGGTTGATGGGTTTTATTCTGAGGTGGTTTGGGTTGTTTTGTTTTTCAGGCTGAAAATGCACTTGCTGCAGTGCCAGAGGAGAGTCGCTCTGACGGAAAAATAACCTTTAAGATTTACAGAAAATATTTTACTGCAGGAGCAAACTACTTTGTGATCTTTATACTCATCGTATTCAATATTTTGGCACAGGTAAGTTGTCAGGAGCCACAAATAGTATTAAATGTATTTGGAGTTTGTTTTGGGTTTGTTTGTTTTTTTTTTCCCTTTTTAACATAGTGTATTCTTGTTATTGTGATGTTTCATTTAAAATGTTTGGGAGCATGGTGTTCTTCCATGGTTTTGTAGTGTATTTGATCAAATTGTATGTATCAGCATGGAGTTTTGGCACAGCAAAAGGTCTCGCACTGGTAGTTAATTCACCAGTTTTAATATTTGAATAAAATATTTTACTGGCAGCATGGCACAGAAATTATAAGCCAGTCTAATTTTTTCAGAGAGAGAATAAAATCACAAGATTTCTAAAGTAGTGTTTAATAAACCTGAAAATTCAGTGTGTTTCCAGTTGAGGGTAGAGAGGCTGGGTATGGGAGGACAGAGTCTGACAGAAGTGTTAGAAGAAAAGCTCATTTGCTGATAGGTACAGGTTATGAGAAGGGCTAGGAGAGTTGCTGTTTACCAGAATAAGAAGGATGAGGAAGAGGATAAGCAAGTACTGTGTATAATATAAACTGTAGCAGGTAGGTAAAAGAATTTTAAAAGGGAAAATGATTTTGAAACTTACTGAAGGAAGTGGTGAGCTGAGGAAGCTGTGAGAAGATAGCTTATTGTCTTTTTCTCTGTTTCCTGCTGAGAAAGCTTAAAACAATTTCATGGAAATGATTGGTCTTGGCTGTAGAATACATTCTGTGTATTTAGACACGTTACTTCCTTTTTGCTTGTTTGTGATTGGAGTCTGTTGGAAAGATAGCTGAGCAAGATCAAATCTCTGCAGTAGACCGCCCAGAACTTTAAATTCACGTGAACAGAGTTGTATTTTGAGATAAATGACCCTGTTACAAGTTTGTAGTCACCTCTCAGCACAGAAGGAAGGTGGCAGTAGGAGTTTTCCCCTCCCTCTCTTCTCTCATCCTCCTTCAACCTTATTTCTGGTAATTATCTCCTGTAAACACAAATTTCTGGACTGGTAACATCAGAAACTTTGTTAATCAAAAAGCATTTTGGAATATCTCTAGTGGTAAATTTAGGAACTGAAAAAAATCAGTTCTTTAATGTGCAATTAACATACATTAGGAAGAGCTACTGTATTTTGTTTGCTTAAGTGTAATGCCTTCCTTTAGTTTGCTATCACGCAAGGGAATTTAAGGTAACTTGTTTCTTTGTAGAGGGATCTACTGCACATTCTAATGTGCTTTGCAAATTGCTGCTGGTCTTGAAAGACTGGATGGCATGCTTTCCTGAATGTGTGATGTTTTCCCAGAGAACATAAAAGAATAGCAAGGAAATTTAATTTTCTAATTTATTTTTTTGTTTTGTTTTGTAAAATGATTCTTGTATTTGCTTTTTTACTCAAGGTGGCATATGTGCTCCAGGACTGGTGGCTTTCTTACTGGTGAGTTGATGACAAGAACTGGTCAGTCAAATGCTGTTTGTCTAACAAAAATCAATGTTGTATAGGTGGGGGGTGTGTGTGTGGGGGGGGGGTGTGTGTGTGGGGGGTGTGAAGCCTGTTTTAGGAAACTTCAGAGTATGCTTGATCTTTTTATGAGCCTCACTCATTTTGCACGGGGTGGGGCGGGGGGGGAATCTTAAATTTCATGCTGAAGTGTAGCCTGTGATTGTTTCCGCTTATGGTGTGATGCATGACAGCATCTGTACATGAGATCTTTTGAACTCAAGATTTCAGCAGAGTTGAATCTAGAAACAGTTTAATGTCCGCAAGAATATTTGCATCATATGATTTGATGATTGTTATCTTCTGTATGCATTTCCACAGGGCATATCATCAAGAAAAGTTGAATGTCACAACAAATGGAAATAATGGAGCAAATGAGACTGAACATCTAGACCTTAACTTTTATTTGGGAATTTATGCAGGTAATCTTATCTGCATGTTTGTGTGTCTGAAGAACTATTTATTATCTGACCTATCATAACAGTTTCAAGAGGTGCGAAGCAACGGCAGTGTGGGCAAGTGTGATTTCTAGCAGTAACTGAGTAATGCCTTAACAGATCAGGAGCCTGAGTCTTGCTTCCTGACTAAATTGATTGGAATAAATAAGAGAAAAATCAAACAGAAGAAATAGGTTGAATGGAGACTGTTATTAATTTGCTCTGTCTGGATTGTGGGAAGTAAACTACAAATTGAGCATTCAAAAAGTCAGTCACTGTAAGGTTGTGGTTATTGTCTATGCTAACAGGTCATTTGAGCTACCTCTGCAGGCATTATATGGATGGGCAAGAGGGATTAGAAATGGATCTTCATTCTGTGCTGTTCTAAAACTTGGCATGGTTACATTCCTTTTGACATGCCATAGCAAAAGAACCAGTTTTTAAAAAGCATCCAAATGGGTATGCAAAGCAGGATGTTAAAAAACATTTCAGTATATTTCATGAGGTAGCCATATGCTTCTGAATATCCAGAAAAGGGCATTGATCCTTGCATGGAGGCATCCAGACATCTTGAAATACTGCTCTGAAATGTAATAAACATTGACATAGAAAAGATTGTGTGTAGAGAAACATGCTGTCAGACTTTGCTGTTTAGCACTTCTGGTGATGTACAGTTTTGTATGGCATGGTAATTTCTTGATGGAGATGTAAATAACAGATCTGAGAAAACAGGTGGAATACCAGAAGTTTATGCATTGAATATATTCAGAAACATCTCTCATGGGTGAGAGGATAAGCAAAGGATATTTTTCGTTTGGTTTTGGTTTTCTGGGGGAGAATCCATGCGATCTAATTGCTTGGTGGAAAACATTGTGCTTGGCCTGGGAAACAACAACTAAGGAGCCAAATAAACTTGGCTCTTATTTTTTCTGTGTAATGTCTTATTTCATGAGTTGTTACAGTGGACTTCACAGTAGGATTAATTGTGGCAGAGTTGGCTTTCTCTGGACATATAACCTGAAACACCTTATGGAAAGATTTATCCTTTAAGGCAAATGGTGTTTTAGGTATCAGAACAGCAAAAGTTACCTTTAGATTGAAATGTTCAGATGGCTTAGTGAGATATTTGCAATAGTTGAACAGATAGCATTGACTTGCCAACACAGAATTGTAAGTGAAGTTGATAAAGTTATGTAAAGATAGTACATTTCATATGCAGTATGTCACAATCTAACTTACTTGTTTTATAACCTATGAAACTGTATACAATAATTTAGTATTTTTATTTCTGATTATCAGTGTTTGTAAAAAGAAAAATGTCACAATGGTTAGATGAGATATTAGGAAGAATTTCCTTACCGTGAGGGTGGTGAGGCGCTGGCACAGGCTGCCCAAGGAAGTTGTGGCTGCCCCATCCCTGGCAGTGTTCAAGGCCAGGTTGGATGGGGCTTTGAGCGCCCTGGTCTAGTGGAAGGTGTCCCTGCCCATGGCAAAGAGGTTGGAACTAAATGATCTTCAAGATCCCTTCTGAACCATTCTGTGGTTCTGTAGTTCCTTATAGAACATTCTATAGTTTCTTAGGAGTCCTTGTTATTTCTAAAAGACAAAGATTTAAAAGAGTAAAATTTCTGTTAATGGGAAACCTTGTTGGCCAGAACTGACATAGCAACTCCCCACCTTTTCTATAGAGTGCGCATGCAGAGTTCTTGTCTTTCTCATAATGAGGTGGTAAACTTGTAAATGGGGAAAACAAAAACCTTCAGCATGAAACAGACTGGATTAAGGACCTTGAAAATGGGTCTCATTCATCCCCCTTTTCCATAGCCCCTAGGTCTTTTCAAGTGATTTGTTTGGTGACAGTCATGCCAGCGGCTTCCAATTGCTTCCAAGCCTGAGCAAAGTTGTTACAGAAGTGTGGGCTTCCCAGGACATGCTCCCTTCCTCCTATTGCTCCAGCAGACTGCTGTTAGGTAGAAGCTCTGCCACAGCCTCCTGCTTAGTATCTCTTCTGCTCCTTTTTTATATGACTCAGCTTTTCTGTTGAGTACATGCAGTTACTCTTGGAAAAGTTGTTTTCTTCTGTGTGGCCCAGAACATAGCATTCCGGACAAGGCAGACAAGCTCTCATCCTTTTCTTAAAAACTGCACTGTGCAGTTACGGGCAATAAACTGCAAGCAGACAAAGGAAATATTGATACCTTTTCTTGTATCCTGGGAGGATACAGCAGTGAGCAGAATGGAATAAGTGATTGCCTTAACCATATCATATAATTTAAAACCTCACTCTTTCCCACTGCTACTATAGCTGTACCTGAATTGCATCCAGTTTTAACCTGTCCTTAGAATAGGTAATGTTAGGGTCTAACTTCAGGGTATCCTCAAGGCCTGAGCATCTGGGCTTGTGGTGCCTATGCTTAGTTTCTGGACTAGATCACCTGGAGCCTGGAAGCACTGCCAAATGTAAGGTTGACACCTTCACTGTTCACCTTCATCGACTGGGAATTTGGGCAGCCACACTGGAGATTACACACAGCAAACAGGGCAGCAGCAATCTCATCATTCTTTGTTTTCATCTTTTGCCCTGTAGCACCCTTGTCTTATAAGTGGAGATGTGCCTAGAAGAAAGAGTACAGACCAGTTCCCTAGAAGGGCTCTATTTCACATGGCATAAGGGATGCATCTTATACTGTGTTAAAGAAATACACATAATTTAAATGACCTGATGTGGTTTACAAGGGGAAGAATGGCATGGGTGGTTTGGGCTGAGTGAGAGTAACTCAAGGTTGTCTCTAAATAGCCTTGTGTATATTACTAGGTTAATACCTGCTGGCAAGTGTTGAATCTTCACAGTGACCTCTGCAAGCCACAGTTATACACAGCACTGTGAAAAGAATTTCTTAGCGGAGCTCTTATGCAGAAGGTTTCAAAACAGATTTATTTCATGGGCTAATAGGCATTTCCTACATTTCTGTAAAGTATCAATTCCTTCAAATTGTTTCAATCAATGATATGATAGTAACTGAAGCTAGGGTCAAATATAAGATATATATGTTCTGTGTTCAGTCTGAGCCCCTAGGCTTAAGTTTGGATTCTTGCTATATACAGAAGTTGTCAAAATTTGGTTTTAATTTTTTTTTTAAATTCGTTTCCTTGTGAAAGATCCACATCTTTATGTATGCTCTGTCCATGTTGTTCTAATTTCAGGTTTAACGGTGGCTACAATACTGTTTGGCATAATAAGAAGTCTTCTGGTGTTTCAAGTTCTTGTTAATTCTGGTCAGACCTTGCACAACAAAATGTTTCAATCCATTTTGAGAGCTCCTGTCTTGTTCTTTGACAGAAATCCTATAGGTAAGTATAATAGTAAAAAATCCCAGAACATTTAATGTACCACCTAGTTAACTATACTGTTTCTGGGCAGTTATTTTCTTATAGTATTTTTACATGTTTGTTGGTTGTTTTTGTTTGGGTTTTTTTAACTTCTTTTACTTAAGATCTTTAACAGTGTGGTCTTTTTAAAAGTCAGGATGTTGGCTGCTTGCAGATGGTTGATCTTACCTCTTCAAATACAGCCTACAGAAATATGAATTACCTGTGGCTTTGGCGTTGTACGTTGACCTGCTAGTTGCATTGGTGCTCTGATTGAGTTACATGGAAGTGTCTTCCATATACTGAATATATATGTGTGTATTTTTGTGAAGATGCCTTTCTTGTGTTTTTCCTTGAAAGCTTAACCCCAACTATTATTTCCCGTTTTAAAAAATAGTTGTAGGCATGTGTGCTACTTCAGTTTATGGAAACACTGCCACTTACTATCCTTCTGGAATGCACAGAAACATGGAACATGCAAGTTAAAACTGTAATCCATATCCAATCCATATCCATATTAATAAATTCTCTTCTTTCAAAAGAAAAAAGAGAGAAGCTGGAGCAGGGTGAAGAGGGTGGGGAGGTGGGGTGGTACTGATTTACTAGCTAGTTTTACACGAGAAACAGGAATCTGGTGGTCTTCACTCCCTTGAAGAAAAGGAATGTAGGCTTGTTCTCATAGTTCCAGAAGCCATTGAATGATTGTATTATCATATGCTGTTTAATGATGTAAGATAGCAATGGCTTTATTGTTCAAAGAGATTAGTAACATTTTCAGGAAAAAAGTACTACTTGTGGAGAAAAGATTCATGTCTGTAATATGATGAATGAAACACATAATTTCCCCTTAAAAAAAAACCTTGAAGAATCTAGAACTGCAGAAGTTTAAAGCTGTGTTATATGGTCTGCTGGTACAGTGAGTCTGCTGCAATGTAAATTCAAGGCCACTGTAAAGCATTGTAAGTCAAGCCATAAACTCAAGAGACAGGTTAGTGAAGAGCTAGTGAGAGCACATGCATCAGAAGAAATCGTAGTACTGATTAGTTTTGTTGTCAGGAAGGCAGGGATTTTCCTCTTCTCTCCCTTTATTTTTTTTTTTGTGTGTGTGCAGCTTATGCAGTAACTGTATTTTTGAGGAATACATAATCATCTTGTAAGAATGCCCATAAATCTGGCTTATCATAACAAACTATGAACTCCAGAGTAAACATCAGGGGCAATGTGGAGTAATAAATAGTAGGTTGCTTTGTAACATACTGTGAAGCTCAAATTAGCAGTGCTTTCTGAAAGTGACATTCATAGAACCTGCCTGTCGCTCGCATTCATACACTGTTGTGACTTACAGATGTGTGTTTCTGCTTATCAGCAGATACGTTATAATAGAAGATTAACTTCAGTATGCATATATTTCTTGCCCTTCATCTTTCTTTTGATCATGGTAGCATGCAAAGGTACTGCTGTTCTGATCTATACATCTTTTGAAAAGGGAAAAGGTGACATGTGAGATGATGGTCTTGTTCAGCTCTGCAGCATGTAGCAGTTTTTAAATTCTGGTTTTAATATCTGTGTTTCATTGTCTGAATTACACGTGGTTTTACTGTGCATTTATCTTTTCAAACTTCAGACATTATTTTTTTTCGTTGGGGTGAGATTTTCTAAAGTAGAAGTATTTTTATTTTTTTCCCTATCTTTATTTGATATGCCTTAGTATGAAAGACATACTAAAAAGAAATTGAAATTATTAAAGGCTCTTTCTTTCTAGGGTTATGTTTGTAATAGCCAAGCCAAGATATTAGTTGTTATATCTCATGTTTAGTAAAGCTGGCATTGCAGTGACAGATCTGTCATCTAAGCATCCAGCATGTTCTTAGTATTTGCATGAGGTCTCTAAGACCTTAGCAGAAGTAGTTGCTGAACTGACTTAGGCTCCTTTATTTACCCCAAAATAATCAGCAATTAAAAAAATGCCATGGCGAGTATTTTGAACACAGTGTTCCATGTTCCAGAGTTGAGGAAGGAAACTTAAATAAATAGACATCCCAAGCTCTCTATAGTTCCTAATGGGGAAACAGGCTAATGAGCAGCATCAGGGAGTCGACATTAGGAAATGGAAATATGTGGTGAATCATGACATGTCTGTCAGCTCCCCACAGTGAAGATCCAATCAGTCGTGGTGAATAAATTAGATGACTTATTTCTAAAAGAATTAAGCTTTGTGAATCAGTTTAGGCATAAGCCCAAGCGCTCTCTTTACGGATTACATTAGCAATATATAGGGATGGGAGGGTTGTAAAAGAAACCGTAACAAGCATTTTGCCCAGATGATACAAGAATTTGAGTGTATTTTTGGAACCTGGATTACATAGCAGAGAAGAAGAGGAGTATGAGGACACCTCTCCTTTCTCCCTTCTCATCCTAAAATATTTGTATGTACACAGATCTCAGCTTTCTGTAGTTTGGCACAGGTCTAAAAATAATTAGATGTTACTGCTCTAAGTATGTTTTGCATTGGAAGAACCTTATTAAATGACTGTCACTTAAGTACTTAACCTAACGCTATTGATCTGATAATCCTGAGTGATTAAAGCTTACTGTGTCATCCAGAATTCAAAAAGAATGATCAGATATTTATGACTGAAACTCAAATTTTATCAGCATCTATACAGTGTCACTTAAATGGCTGTACTGAAAGCTAGATAGGAAGTTAGAGATGAAGTGGTTGTATTTTGGCTTTATCACACCTGACTTGTCTGTGTTGATTTATTTTTTGGAGTGTAGAATTTGACTCTCTTAAAACTTCCTTTGCTCCTCTATCCGCATCACAGTAAGAGAATTGCGTACATGTCAAGGTATCTGTAAAGAGGAAAACGTGGATGTTTTCTGCTTCCTAGGGAATGCTTTATGTATTTCTCTTCATGTGTCACTTGCAGCAATAAATAATAAAGGGCTTGATTCCTGTGCATGTCTAGCACAAGAGGGCAGCATGATCTGTTTTATCCCAGTCTAACATTACAACAGCTTATTAGAAGGATAAGAAAATTTATCTGTTATGGTTTTAGAGGTGATATTTGAGGAGTGAATTGTCAACCTCTCCATTGAGCAATACTGCTGTCGTTCTGTTCAGTAGTCCTCATTATCTGCAAGTATAATATTTTCTCTTGATCTTTTTACACAGTAAGCTTTTCAGCTTCATGTAATGTTGAATTCAGGAACTTTGTTGGCTTTGTAATTAGGGTTATCTGACTTTTGGCCAATATAGAGTTTGAGGCTTTGGTTCCATCAAGGAGACCTTCTTCAGTTATTATTGCTTTTAATTATTTTTTCAAGATGTTTGTAAGATTTCAAAACAAATTTGACAGAAAGCTAGATAAAAGGGACTGAGACTTCAGCAGCAATGACTTGAATTGGGAATTCCCTGTTTTGAAATTAGTTTCTTCTTGATATCTTAGGAGATCCTAGTTTTGACAAGCTTCAGGATTTGATTCAAGATTACTTGCTTAGCTTGTAAATGAAGTGTTCTTTTCTGGGATTTGGGGATGGATTTCTTAGAGAAGGGATGCTAATGTGTAACTGCATCGCTTTCTGTAATGGCAGTTTTAGTGGAGATAGTGTGTAATTTTGAATTGCATTGAGTTTAGGAAACTGAACCCTGCTGCTGCTGTGTTGCTGGGTGCTGTGAGAGTGAATGAATGAGATGCATTAATTTGTTCAGATAAAATAGGAATCTTCCCCCTCCAGAGATCTGTCTAAAATTCAGATTGAACCAGAACCGCTACAGAAATGCATGTGAAAATCCAGCTTTTCTTTTTTTGTATCTCTTCAAACTCTTGGTTCTGACAGTTCATAGAAGGAGGAGATACATTTTGGCAGACATTACAGCATTTCTGGCCTTCCTGGAAACAGAAAGGACTGAGTTGTGTCATGGTTGTCCTCTGTCTGTTAAATTAGCAGATTTTCTTTTGGTTTTCCCCACAAATGCTTCATGGAAGCATTAAGTAAATACTGATCTGTTTGGGTGTTTACCTAGATTTTGAGATTTGTCCAGGTTATAAGGAGAAATATTTTCCTGTTTGGTAGCCAGTAATGACATGCTGAACTAGCTAATAGCAGCATGTAAAAGCAAACTCCAAATATTAAAAGATAAAAATGTGAAAGAAGGCTGTTGTTATAATGAAGAGTTTGTTTTTCTTTAAGGCATAAGGATTTTAATTATGGTGTTCATAAATCAGGTGTTGAAATGCCTCTAATTTGACAGAGAAAGTTTCTTTATAGGATTAAAAGCATGTTCATCAATGCACAAGTGCCTATCTGCATTTTATCTGACAGAAGCTTCAAATGGGCGATGTTGTTAAAGTGTTTAAACCGTATAATATTTGCAACAAGTATGATATTTCAGCAGTCTGAAAATTACAATGCTGATAATGAGGTTGTTAAATTATACTCTATCAGTTGGATAGTGAGACTGCTATAGTTAGTGTACATTAATGTATGCTTGTTCACACAAGTGATTCTGCTGAACAAGTAGCATGTTTAAACAAGAAATACTGGTCTTAAACCCTGTGATTTACAGTAGGTGGTGTTTTGGCATATCATGCAGTTAACAAAGCAAAGCTTCACGTTAAAATATTTTGTTTGTAGTCTCATTCATCACTGATATAAATATTCAGTAGCAATGCCAGAAAATGCATTGTATTCCTATTTGACTCAATGACTCAGTTGCTTCCCTTTTTGTTTTCTTTTTTGGAAACAAGATCTGTGCTCTCTTTCTGATGAAGTTTTCAGATACTTCCTTGTGGTCAAGGTGAATTCTGCAGGATTGTGAAAAACTATACCAGCTCTTTTGACAGGTTTCATGTTCTCTTAAGCTAATACAAGAAAATACATTGTCCTTAAAGCAGTAGAGGCTTTGTTTTTGACTCTCTGTGCCAAGCTCTAAAGCACATTCATGTGTGTGCAGGTTTGTTAGTTTGTGTTGAAAAGAA